GAGAGAGCGAGGGCGGGAGGGAGGGAGAGCTAGAACAAAACAACCCTGCGCCGATCGATGAACTGTACACACACGCAGAAGCATGGACACTTCCAGGTCAAAGCCGGAACAGAAAACGCTTCAAGCTTTAAACCCTGAATGCCCATGACAGAAGCTCCAAAATCATAAACCCTTAAATCCTGACACCCCCAAACCGTGACCGTGTGGAACCAGGCCTGTGACAGTACGCGTTGCAACGCGTCACCCCACTCCATCTTCTCCTTCTTGAGGCAGTGAAATTCTGTTGGTTCAGGGCTTCAGCTCGTCGTTTAGGGTTTGTGTTTCAGGTTTGAGGGGTTTGAGTTTAGGGTTTAGGGTATTAAAGGGCTTGGGGTTCAGAGATTTGTGGGCTCAGGGCTTCTGGGTTTCAAAAAGCCTCCGCGCTGTCAGTACCCGGGTCGTGAGCACATCAGAAAGCTCTGCATGTACCACAGCCCCTCTTCCCGGATGTGGAGAACCGAACTCTGCCCCCTAAACCCTAAACCCTAAACCCTAAACCCTAAACCCTGCCGGCCTCGTAGATACATCTCCTGGCGCTCTTTGGCGCCGTCGAGGCCTTGATGCAGGGCATACGGCTTAAGAATGCTTAGGGTAGAGGACTGGGGATTCGGCTGCAAAACTTTGAACTAGCTGGATAAGGATGATAAAGATGTTAGAATGCTCGCCCCAAGAAAACTAGATCTCAGCTCCTTGCGATACTTTTGGAGAGCCCGAAGCGCTCTATGGCATAGAGTTTCAAGATATAGGATGGTTTGCGTCCTTAAACCCCGGTTTAGGGGTTTTGCCCTAGTCCGATAACGCCTTAAGCTTTAAGATTCCGACTTCAGATCCAGTAAACTGCCTGCTGCCCTCAACCCTAAAGCCCTCATATCACGTATATAATATAAGGTAAGATAAGATAATATCAAATACTGTAAACAAATAAATACATATATAATAGGTCTATATACAAATATATATATATATATACACCAAACAGGGCCTTATTGATTTGAACAGAGTTTTGAGGACAAATGAAAGTGCAGAATCCTAAAGCATAGTTTCGCCAATTAATGAGGCCCTACATTGGGTTAATCCAAGGTAATCCTAAGCCTTAAGCTCAGTGTTCGGCTCTGCACCTCAATCTCAGGTTGAAACCATGGGCCCCTAGTACGGGCCCTTAAGGGTGGGATCCTTACAAACCTACTACATACCCTATATGTACCCTTCTGGGTCCCCAGAAAGGCCTAAGAGTCCATATTGGGGGCCCATACTTCTAACCTTAGACTCAAGCCGACATCAGGACGGTTAGGGCTCGCGGCTCACGGCTTAGGGCAGCAACTCGACACGGCCGAGGGCTCCACCAATGTCCGACGTTTTCGTCGTGGTCGGTGTTTGGCCGCCTCTGCCGCGACTGGCACACACACACACAGACAACAGGCCTAGTTGATCTACGATCCCCGAACCAGGTTTAGGGTTTAGGGTGATACCCCCACCTCCATGAAAAACTGAAAAGCACGCGCAAGGCAGGCCTATTTAAACGACGACTGCCACAACTGCCACAGATACATCTACATCTACATCTACGTCTACTACGACTACTACAACTACTACTACGACGACTGCTAATTACTGCTGCTACTACTACTACTACTACTACCACCACCACGACGGCAACGGCACTACCACCACCATCACCGCCATCACCGTCAGTTCATGACCATCAGCATCCTCGTCGTCGAAATGTTCCTAATCTTCTCTGCTTCTCAACACAACCGTTAATAATGAATAAGACATTATAATTATAGGCCGGCATCATCCTCACTATCGAGACTATTGCTCGCCACATCACTGACAACAAGAAGCATCAGTACTGCAATCATCGGCGGCTCCTGATGGTTTCATTGGTTTGGACTCACAGGAATTCCAATGTCGAGAGCATTTGCTGCAAAGTCACTGCTTCTTGCTGCTCCTTCTGCTTCTGCTGGAGCTGCTCCTCTTCCTGCTTCTGCTGCCGCTTCTGGGCCAGGACCTTGTCGATGCTGCCACGTGGCATGGCCAAGATACAAAGGTCCACTGTCTCTGGACTTGGCGGAAAGCGTCATACGGATTTCTTTTCATGCTCCGTAAGTGCGGGTGTTGGGCTTGTGAGCTTCGAGGCTTCATGCAGTCGGATGAGTGGAAAGCGATGTCGGCGAGGGTTGGGGGCTGAAGGTACCTTTCCACGAGTGATTTGGCTTGGAGCGGGCTGAGGCTGGGATTGGGGTAGGGTGGGGGTGGGGCTGGGTGGGGATGGGGTGAGCTATTCGAGACCGTCCGAGCCAGGCTTCGCGAGAAGGTGCTTTCTTTTCCTGTGCAACTTCGAGGGAAATGCTCGATTTTTTCTTATACACTGAAACCCAGACTGTTGAGAAATCCGGATGAACAGAAAAACCCTCTAGTTGCCGTGTTGCCCGGCTCCCAAAACTTACTCGGAAGGTAGCCTTGCATTCCGAGCATCAGGTGTGTACAAACCTCGAAAAATAAAGGTTGCCTACTGCCTGGGCATGCAACTACGGTTGATGATATAAATCTTGCATTACCCATAATAAAGAATATACTATACCATACTTCCCATCATTTAGAGTCCTTAAGGTAATGCAGGACTTATATCATCAACAGTGTCATCCAAGCAATGCCGAAATCCTACGAATGGTCTCAAACAAAGAGCCCTTCAGCCTTATTTCCTTAAGGACGGACGAAATGACCCTTACAAGGTAGGGGCCCCTATAGCCGCACACTATGAATCCTTACATGGTATATAAACCTTAAACCCTAAACCCTAAACCCTAAACCCAAAACCCTAAACCCTAAACCCTAAACCCTAAACCCTTCAAGGCTTCCTTTCGGCGTTAAGGTTAGGATCGTTCATTCACTCCAACGCGCACTTCGGTTTCCATCCTATGCCCCGCTGCTCCCATGGCAACGGGCAGAAGGCAACTCTCCCTAAGGGTCCATGTACTTCGGGCCCAAGGTACCTATGCAGGGACTGCTTTAAGGCCAAAGTATATGGGTAGTTCTCTCAATTGGGGTCCCTTTCTGGTCCCCAAGATAGTACGGCACCCTTATAAAACGGACCCTAAAAGGGACCCTAATTTAGGGAACTACAGTACCCATATACACATGGACCCCTTAGGGTCGGTTCAGCAGGCATGTTGCCCGAATCTTCCAGAGAGAACGCTACACCGCCAGGGTTTAGGGTTTAGGGTTTAAGGCCCCCAAGCAGCGATTCAACGTTTCATTCAATTACTAAGGATCGCCTCTGTCCGATTCTGTCCTTCAATGACTCTAAATCCCATAAAGGGAAGGGACGCTGCAAAGATGACAGTGAACCCCAGAAAGTTGGAACATGGGTTTACGAGAATTGGTGCTAGGATTCCACCTGCTTTACCTAAGGGCATGAGGGTAGTGATGCTCCAACTTTCTGCCTTCTACTTTAAGGCATGTTTCTTGAAGTGGTGTTGCGGCTCTCTGGGCTTGCACTTGTGGCACTGGAAAAAAGCGGCACCAAGCAGTTGCCGGATGTGAGGACTAGCTGAAAGGTTTAAGCTTCATACGCTTATGGCTTGTAGGGCTTATGGGCGTTTAAGGGAGCTAGCAGTGACAATACGACACCCTGTATTCGAGTCCCAATAAACCCTACGAGCCATAAACAAACCCTCTGAGCCATAAACCCCCAACCCCAGCACTATCTCTGGCACAAGCAGCTAAGGAAAGAAACCCTAAACCCTGCAGCACATGGGGGGTTTCCGAAATTAAGGGGTACCTTATTTTGGGGTCCTTAGAGTAAGGATCCTACCATTTAGGGTGCTATATTAGGGTCCCCTGTCTTTGGAAACCTCCGCATCTGGTAAGGGTCATTGGCAGGTCCCAAGCAAAGACCAACCGGTGCAGGCTGATCGGTCAGGTAGGCTGCGCAGACCTCGGATGACAGAGCTTAGGGTTTGGGGTTTAGGGTTTGGGCTTCAGGGTTTGGCGTTTAGGATTTAAGGGTTGGGGTTTAGGGTTTAGGGTTTAGGGTTTAGGGTTTAGGGTTTAGGGTTTAGGGTTTAGGGTTTAGGGTTCTGGGTTCAGGAGTTTTAGGCTGAAGGTGTTGCTTGTGATTGGCCGCCACGGTACCATCGCTGAAGATCGGCGCAACCGTGCCATCTCCTGTAATGCGGGGGTGCTTAGGATGCTCTCCGAGACCCTCAAAATGTACCCCCCATGTCATGTGAGTTACTACCTTAGCCTCTTTTTACAGGTTCCTAACCACAGAATAGGTTATCCTACAGATAGCAGGGGTACTACTTTCTGGGGTCTAGGCCGACTGCAACCCCGAATCTCGAATAACACGAAGCTTCAATCCTGCATCTTCGGCAGGGGGGAAGGTGCACTAGCTTGTTCAGAAGGGCTCTCGTTCACAGGGGTCAGTTCTCTTGAAGGATCGAGGTACTTTCTTACTCCCAGCTCTCCGATTCACAGTCTGCTTTCTGATGTTAAAGCAACATTCGCGGAAACCAAGGTATCGAGTTGGCGACGGCTAGGAGTCTTCAGACAGGATGTCTATGTATGTATGTATGTATGTATGTATGTATGTATGTATGTATGTATGTCTGTATGTATGTATGTATGTACGTACGTACGTGCGTATTTCTGTGTGTCTACGTATGTAATTATGTATACTTATGTATGTGTGGGGGGGAGTACATGCACGCATACAGACATATGTACATCCATCCAGGAAAACTTGCGAACATGCGTCACATACATACATACGTACATACATACACTCATACTTACCCACATGCATGCACGCATAAGTACATAGGTACATATTTTGACATGGACTCGAACCTTAAAACCCTAAGCCGTACAGCAGACCGGTGCCTTCAGTCACTCCGGCAGCAGGCGCCACTGGTGAGCGCCCACCTAGTTGGGGTTCATTTATTGTACCGTTTCTTCGGTTCCATAAGCGTTTAGGGTTTAGGATCATTGTCCCTTCTTTTGGGTTACGTATAGGGATTTAGGGTTTAGTTTAGAAGGTGTGCAGGGGCTCGGAAACTTCCTCACAAGATTCACTGCGAACCCGAAACCCTCAAAAATAATAACATGAGGGGCCTTCTGGTAATGAAGCTGTGAAGTGCCAGGCTCACGACGAAAACCCTTTTAAGGACTTGTAGAACGAATCAGGTAGAGTTCAAAACCCTGCCTGCCTCTACTTGCAAAGTTGGAGTGGGTGCAGAAGCTATGCAAAACAAGGCAACCGAAGAGCTCGAAGCTGAAGGTGATTCCCGAAAGCCCGTAAATCGACAAACCACACTCCCCCGGGTTTAGGGTTTAGGGTTTAGTTTAGGGGAACCCTAAACCCTAAACCCTGACTCCAGCACCCATTAGACCCGGCAGGCCCCCGCAACTCCAAAAAAGCTCGAAACCCAAAATCCCGACGACTTGGGCACTATTAGAGTCGACCCTACCCAGAGAACCCAGTACCCCATAATGAAGGAAGATGCCCTAAACTCATAATATGAAGGCCCCTATAGTTTAGGGTAGATTCCTTAATTAAGGGGCTTCGGGTTCTCTGGGTACTAGCTGTTTTGGGAGCTTCTGAACCCTAAACCCTAAACCCTAAAGCGTGTTCTATGTGGCTTCGGGGGTTTAGGGCTTTAGGGCTTCGGGTCCACGGCTGGATCGGGCTTTCAGGGCTTGAAAAGTCTTCGGGTCTTGAAGACTTGAAACTTTAGGGTGTAGGGTTACAGTTTCGGGTTAGGGTTTAGGGTTTAGGGGTTTAGGGTTTCGGGGTTTAGGGGTTTAGGGGTCTAGGGATTAGGGCTTAGGGGTGCGCTGCAAGCAAGTCGATGACACAAACCTGCTAGTGTACGCATCTGCGGCTGGGGAGCTTTCAAGCTCGTCCGGGCCTTTATAAGTTTACTCATTCCCCTAAATGATTCACTCTAAGCTAAACATTAATTAAATCTCAACCCCTAAAGCCTAAACTCGTGCCCTAGAGTACCGCCCATAAGACCATATGTAACCCATGTAAAATACCATAAATACATCCCTCTAAAATCTTATCGATGTTTCTGCAGCGCCGAAATCACCCTCCCTCGAAATCAAGAAGCCGGTGTAGGGGATCAGGGTTCAGGGGTTGTGTAGGACTTCATGGTGTCTTGTTGGGTCTTGTTGCGCATTAGAGGAGCGTTCAAGCAGGGTTTCTAGTCGGGGTTTGGGGTTTAGAGTGCTGGTGGCATGGGGCACAAATTGTTTCAAAGAGTCGCATATGGCCCAACTCCGAAAAACACACCTCTGACCCTTGTACGATGCCTCGTGCCAGGCCGCGTGCTGCACGGTCCGCAGCATGTGCCTGGTTTAGGGTTTAGGATTTAGGGCTGAATTACCGGTTTTGCGCTTGGAACTTTGGATGATCTGAGGTGGGCCAAATGCCTGTGTCTGTTTGCCTGGGCTCTAAACCGTCAGGCCCTAAACCCTGGTGAAGGCTTTCGTTTTCAGGTTTGCCGGGAGGCCTTTTTGTATAAGGGTTTGACGGGACATGGTTTCGGTTTGTTTGTGCGTCAAGCTATGGGGGGATTCTAGTGTTCAGGGTTTGTTTGTGCGTCAATTCAAATTTTGAGGGTGTGTTTGTGCGTCAAGCTATTGTGGGACTCTACTTTTTAAGGGTTTGCCTGTGCATCAAGCTATCGGCGACACCTTCAAGCCAAACCTTTTAAAGGACGGCCTCTCTCCAAACCCGTCAAGAAAAAACCCTGCCCCCCTGCCCTAAACCACAAGAAACTCTGCAACTGGAAACTGCTTCCAGATGAAGTCCAATGAAGCAAGCAGTTGGGTGATCTCGATGTAGCTTCCGTGGATACCAACCCAAAACATTACGCAGAAATGCCACGCCTACTCCTGAGCACACCGCGACAGTTTGCAGCTGTTGCATGGGTACAGCACAGACGTGATGCACGGCCCAGCCGGCAAGACAAGTCAAAACTGTCGGAGCCACAGCAATCGTGCAGCAAGGGTATTACCACTACTTGGTAATTCTCGGACTCCGATATTCAGACACCAGCAGACATGTTGCCGAATGAAAGTTTAGGATTGATTTATGGGAGACATGGCCCCAGTTCATGTCCAAAGCCATCAGAAACCCTCCTAATCGGGCGTCCGGCTCCCCGGCTTAAAGGGTTACTGACTCTTGGCTCGTAAACTTGAACTCAGCCGTAGCTTAAACCGAACCCAAACCCTAAACGTAGTAAAACCGCAAGCCAGAATCCTGTATGAGACCCTTCACAGGAACCCTTCACCCTTCGAGGAGCCTTTAACAGCCTTTGAACGTAAACTCCGCACTCCAAGCGCAACCAGAAGGCGGCGGCGATTGACCAGGCACTGAACGCTGCCTTCTCTTCCTCCCCAGCAGTACAGGTTAGCACGTTTCGGGGTTTTGCAGGGTCATCCAAGCTTTCTATGTTTTTGTATATTTTGACTGTATGAGGCTTCCATAACGAATGTTTGATTGAGGCCTTCACGGGCTCATATAGCCCTACGGGTCCATGTGTTCGAATACTATGTACTTTGGCCCTAAAGCACTTATAAATCAATACTTTACGGCCAGAATATATACTTTCTCTGTACATGGGCCCTTCAGGAAAAAAGACTTGAGATTTTGCTTGTTGCAAACCTTGCAGGTTTGGGGTTCAGGACACAGAAGAATCACCAATAACAGTGCCTGAGTACTGTACTAAGACGATTAACGCCCTTTTGCAAAGCCGTTTTCAATGTTTCCAGCAACCCGGTGGAAATTGGCACTCAAAATCCTAAACTGCCTTGCGGTGATCTGGTTTGAAGCTGGGAGGGGAGCAAGAATACCCTAAATCCTGTACATATCAGAAGCCCCACCTAAACGTCGAAAAAACAATGCAAAAACCCACAGCACCCTAAACCCTAAACCCCGAAAGGCTAAACCCTAAGCCCTCAACCCCTCAACCCCTAAACCCAAAGCCACCCTAAAGTCCCAAACACACTAATTCCTCCAGTCTTGAAGGCACCAAACCTTTCGTCCCCGAGCCTTGAAGACATCAACCTTAAAGCCCTACAGCAGAAGTTCTTGAAGGGTTTAGGGTGTATATAGGGTTTAGGGATTTGGGGTTAAAGGTTTAGGGGGTTAGGGGTTTAGGGTTAAGGGTTTAGGGTTTAGGGTACTCCAATTCAAGAGCAGGTCCTTGACGCCGGTTGCAGCAGCAATGAGGCCAGAGCCTCCCATCCAAAGTTGCAGTAGGCAAAAAAAGGGATTTGGGATGTAGGCTTGAGGGGTTTAGGACCCCTATAAAACTCTGAAAAACGAAGCCTTTAAGGGGAGTCTACTTCGAATTATCCCGACCCTTTTTCGGAGGGATGGGCTTTAGGATGGATGGGTGGACGGATGGATGGCTGGAGGGAGGGAGGGAGGGAGGGA